TGATGGGGCTGAATCATCGGTTAATCCTCAAAGTCAGAAATATAAAGAAACTAAAATTGATAAAGACGAAAAAAAGATAAAGAAAAAAGGATATGATAAAGAGAAATATCAGAAGAATAAGGAAAAGATTTGTGAATATAAACGAAATTACAGACGGCGTATGAAAGAAAATTTACGAAAAAATAAACTAGAAATTGTCCAAACTATTAATTCAGAATTAATAAATATTCAATCAAATGAAGGAAATTTATTACCTAATATGCAAAATAATGAATGTGAAAGTAAAGAAAAGGAACCGATTGTTTCCAAAGAGAATATCAAGTTAGAAAAAGGAGATCTGAAAGTGAATGATAATGCTGAAGGAACTTCATTTGTTAATCCACAGACGGATAGTTATGTAAATAATTTATCTGCCACAGATGCTTGCCCTTCTGGACAACCAAATGTTCAATCGTCTGTTGCCCTTCATACTCAACAAATGGATGATCATGATGATTTAATTGATATGAGTTTATCGGATGATTCTTATTTTTTGGATTATCTAAATTATTTTCCTAATTCCTGAACACATATCAGATAATCAAGTTGATGAATTTTAAATATGAAAACAACAAAAAATAAATCTTTCCGTTCCCATATTTGATCTTTTCTTTAAATTTATAGCTGTACATATGAACTAGAGATCGGCTGGAGGGGTCGGTCGATATTTTTCGAAAAATATCGAATATCGAAAAATATCGAAAAACTTAAAATTTTCTCGGTCGATATTTTTTCGATAAATATCGAAAAATATCGAAACCGAAAAATATCGAAAAAAAGTCTCGATATTTTTCGATTTTTCAAAAAATTTTTATAACCAATGAATAACAGAATAGCCAAATAGTTTAAGGAGATTAAGATTGATTAAATGGGATATTGGTGGATTTGGACGGATTAAATTGAATATCAAGGGCTTGTATTTGTTATCGAATGATCAAGTGGATATAACGGATTCTAGCGAAGCATAATGCATTTTAAGGAATTAAGGGGGATATTGGAAGACAGTGTAACAAGAGATTTAGAGGTAGTAAGACGGATATTGTGAATTTGAGAGATCAGGAGGGATATCAAGGAATTTGTGGATTAAAAGGGATATCTCGGATAAAATATCTTGGCATTTGGTATTCGTTTAGAAAACCATCTCTCCCAAAGCTCCGTCTTGATCCTCGAGATCCATTTTATCCACTTAATCCTCTAATAGTTATACAAATAGTCGATTACCCCGGATATCCACAATATCCGTCATGCTCCTTGGATATCTTAAATATCCCAACAAACCTTCGGATATCCTATAAAATTACTTTAATCCAGTGAAATCTCACTTAATCTGCCGGAATTTTTCTTAATTCATATCAGTGTTTTGTAGGGATATCGAAGGAATATGATGGATAAAGGGGATAAGAAAGGATATTCTAACAATCTTATGAGAATCTCGGAGGTCAAGTTGCAAAATTCTTCCATTTACAGCGCCGCAGGCAAAAATTTTTCGAATTTATGATGGTCAGGAAGCTAAAATTTAGTGATGGTCGGGAGTTAAAAAAAGCCGAGAGTCGGGAACCGAGACCGAGACCGGGAATCAACCCCGAGACCGAGTCCCGGGTCGAGACCGAGAGTCGAGACCGAGAGTCGAGACCAAGAGATTAGGAGGGATAAGCTCCGATATCCGACAAGTCCATTGATACCCCTAATATTTAGGGCCGTATACGATAATTCTTGTTTTTTGTAAGGCTTTAAGCCATAAATCCTCCAATTTGATTCATTTTTTTGCGCCGCAGGCGAAAATTTTGAGAATTTTGGAGGTCATGAAGCCAGATTTCTTCTCCCATTTTCTACGCTGCAAGTGAGTATGTATACTGAGGATTTAGGCGCCTTATGCGAAAATTTTAAAAAATTCATAATTCAATTAAAATTTTTAATGTCTTTTCAAGTAAAAATATTTAAAAAAATAAATTTAAAATCAAAATTAAAGTAAAAGACATTTATTTTTGAAAAGAAAAATTTTTTTCAGCCTAAATCCAACTCCTGGATTCGAACCCAAACCTACCAAAATAACAAAATGATTGACGTCAGTCAACTTAACCACTCAACCATCGACCATCAAAAGGAAAAATGGGAGAAAATATAAATATTTCTTTCCCTTTTCCTTAAAAAATTAAATGTCTAAGTACGAGGGTTACGAGTAAAATTAAAATAATTTCCGTCATTAGGGGTGTAAATTTAGTCTCGTTTTCCGAGACCAAAACTCCGAGACCGAGACCGAGACCGAGAGCTCAAAAAACCCGGGAAATTTCCCGACTCGGGAACCGAGACCGGGAATCCCGACCATCACTACTAAAATTCATCCTTTTTGACGCCAAAAATTCAAATTTTTGTCAAAAATGACATTCGATATTTTTTTCGATATTTTGTATTTGGTCGGTCGATATTTTCGATATTTAAATTCTCTCGGTCGATATTTTTCGATAAATATCGAAAAATATCGAATATCGAAAAATATCGAAAAAGTAAAAATTTTCACGGTCGATATTTTTCGATAAATATCGAAAAAAAATATCGAAAAATGTCGAAAAAATATCGTATCGAGCCGATCTCTAATATGAACTATTATATTTTACAAAATTATTTCCAAATATTTTTTCATATTTATTTTTCTTAATTTAATTTTCCTTAATTTTTTAATTGAAATTGCTTCATTCTATAGACATAGCGTTTTAATAAATTTTTAAATGAATGTTTGCCTTTTCTGGATTCGCAAAAAGGGAAGAAATCTACTGCTTGGACTTCCAATATTCAAAAATTTTCGCCTGCGGCGCTGAAATACGATATGTTTACAATTTAAAGGAAATGCCGAGGTGTTTGGGCGAGATTTCCTGCCCCAATTGAAAGTGTATTTAGCTTGGCCGGCTTGGCAACTAAGTGAATAATGGATCGCTCTGAGGAGAAATTTTAAACGCAAAGTTATTAACATTTGATTTTATTATGTTATGTGTTTATTCATGATTTCATAGAGAGTAAGTGTTGGAGCTCAATCTGACATAAGATTAAGAATAAATTATCGAGAGGGAAATTTTAAAAAATATTTTGATATGCACCGAGGACGTCTAAAAACCCGCAGGCAAAAACTTAATGAATCTAATGAAACGCAACTTGTGAATATGAAGAGAAAAATAGTATCAATAAAAAATTTACATCAGAGAGTTTTAATTAGGCTCATATTTTTGGTTCCGTGACTTTTGCGCCGAGAACATTTGCGCCGCGACTTATGCGCCGCGACTTTTGCGCCGCGACTTTTGCGCCGCGACTTTTGCGCCGGGCGACTTTTGCGCCGGGGGACTTTTGCGCCGCGACTTTTGCGCCGCCACTATCATTAAAAATATATAAATAACTACAGCCTGACCTCACTATAGTAGTGTTGTCGGATAGTTGGAAATATTCGGATATCCGGATCCGATATCCAAGCTGAAAATTTCGGATATCCGGCCTTTTTCGGTTCCGGATCCGACAACCTTACCCTATAATGCACACTCTTGGGGCTGAAAATCATACCGGAATAGGGTTATCAAATCCAAATGTCCTGATCCGAAAAAGTCAGCACATCAGAAATCAATTGGGATATCTGATCAGGGAATTTAGACCTAATTCATTATTTATGGTCAAGACCTAATTCTCAGTACCGGACCCCTATTGTACTTCCTGGACTTCCTTCAGTTCCTGTATACCATTTTTTAACCCCAAGTGATACACTAAAGTGAGGTTATTATTTTATTTTTTTAAACAATGGCGGCGTAAATGTCGCGGCGCATAAGTCGCCCGGCGCAAAAGTCGCGGCGCAAGAGTCGCGGCGCAAAAGTCGCGGCGCATAAGTCGCGGCGCAAATGTTCTCGGCGCAAAAGTCGTGATACCATATTTTTAAGGTCGCAGCCGATTTAAGCGATTTAACTTTCGACTCAGTTGCTTCTACCCGTGACTCCAAGTTGCATTATCCAATGATATTAATCTATCTGAGACATGCTCTGATCTTTGAATTTAAGAAAACAATTAGAACTATTGTCACAGCATTCTGTATATGTAAAATAATATTTATTGAAAATATTAAATAACGATATTGTCAGATTATTTCTATAATTTTATAAAAATTCGTGTGCATTTATCGAAAAAATAAATTGTTGGAAAATCGTTAAAACAATGCAGCAAGTTAAAACTTATAGTCGCAAATAAAGCCCTAAATTAAAGGTGCATTCACAATTTTTTTATAATTAGTCGAAAATAGGATTGTCGGTTTCAAATCAAATAGGACAGAAATTTTTTGGGGAGACCAACAACCCTAGTTAAAAACAATTTTTGTTCTCAAATTTAGGGCTCAATTTCTGAATAAAATAATTAAAATAAAGCAAGATTTAATTGAAGCGTTTAACTAAAAAAGGGATGGTTTTGTTTTTAATTAATCAAAAACGAAAGTTTAGAAATTCATTTTGTGCCCGTGCAAACCAAACAAATATTTTATTAGAGATTGGACTAATAAATTTAGAGAATTCTTTACAATTTGCGATAATATTTAAATTTTCGAGCTGATTCTAGTCCCAAACTAAAAATGAGAGGAATATCAAGGTGAGTATAGAAAGAGAGTTTGCTAACGTTTAGCCACCGGGCAGGATTCAAACCTGCAACCACCTTCTAGTTGTTGCTAGGCGCTTCGCTCACTATATGCAGGAGCTCTACGTCTGAGCTACCAGGGCATAGACTAATGCTTTCTCTTTTTCCTTTTAGATCGTTTAAGCGTTTTAAATACAGCTAGGTGAATCCTCTTTACAGTATGCATGAGCGAGATCCATATGTCAAAGGGTCTTCCTCGGTTAAAAATTTCAGGTAAATCTTGCTATAATGAAGTGAAACGTTAATTTATTAGCCCAATCTCTAATTCTCTCAACTTTAACTCCTCTTATATATCACTACATTATTTTTCACAACTGTTCAATTCTACCCTCATTCTCCAATTTCTGGAAATGTTGTTGCCCGTGTTCCAAACTAGTAGTAGAAGTTCCTTGACGTATCACAACCGAAGAAGAATCACTATTATTATTTTCCTGATCTGCCCCCTCTGTTTCTGTTGAAGAAGAGGACAATCTCCCACTATTCTCTCCATTCCCCAAAAGTAAATGACCGTTCTCTCCCTTGTAGTTATTATTACTCTTTTTGCTAGGAGAGTCTTCATTTTCAGTTCTATAAGTTAGCAAGGATGTGTTTTCGTCATCTTCGTTTTCGTGGTCCTCATAATTTTTCAGATGCCCGTTTTGATGAGGGGAATGTTGTGTTTGATGACTAATACCTATTATTTCATCCCCTTGAGCAGTTGGTGATGAGCTGAAGTCGATAAGTTGTTCTTGATAGTTGTTATTGTTGTTGCGATTCTCCTTAATTCAAAAAAATTTTTTTAATAGAAAAATTTTCTTCAAATAACCTGATGAATGTCTTGTTGTTCATAATTCCTCCATTCGACGGGTGGTTGTTGTTGCTGACTTTCTTCTCCAACGGGCGACATGGGCTGGGAATGTTCACTATTCGGTTCATCTTCAGCTCGATACTAAAATAATTTAAATTTAATTTGGTCAATTAAATTTTATTTCACTATTTTAATAGCCGAAAATCACATCTTATATAAGGCTTAGCTAATTTTGAAAATTCAGAAAATGTAGCTTAAACTGATATCTAATTCTGAGGGTATCTTATAAGTAGGTTCGACTATATTACAAACCTCAACATATTTATGATCAGAAGCTGGCGTTATTTCTATTGAAGGCTGTTGAAGGAAAGGTTTAGAATGATTGGATCGAGCATCATCCTCATAACCAGAGGCTAAGAGATTCGGTGATTCAGATAACTGAAGGGATTGTTCTTCCTTTTCAATCAAGCTTTGCTTTTCACTGTGTTCCGAACGAAACGTTTCGGGTTCATTTTCTTGTTTCGAACGTTGATTTTCATCTACATTCTTCTCATAAAATTCTGCCCCTTCTCCAGTTCTAGATGTAGGACTTCCAAAATTATTTATGGATCCGTCTTGATTTGTCGCAAACTCTCCAATGTGCCCATCTCCAAATACTTCTTCAAGTCTAGCTTCAGAAACAACTTCAGGACTAAATTCAGACCGATCCTCAACATTCCTGTCACTAACTTCCTGCTCACTTTCCGGTCTAACTTCTGATAAATTCTCTTGAACATCTTCGTGTCTAGCTTCAGAAAAGTTTTCATGTCCAATCTCCGACATATCTTCAGATTTTCGACTGGTAATTTCAGGTTCAACTTCTTGTCTGCTTTCGGAAACTTCTTCATGTTGTATCTCCGATCCATTTTCTTGTACCTCTTGATGTCCAAACACAGAAATATCCTCATTTTCAGGTTCATCCTCATGTCTAACCTCTGACACTTCAGTTTTACTTTCCGGTCTGTTGTATTCAGTCTCTTCCGAATGCACTAAGTTAGCGTCGTCAATTTCGTCTTCTCTACCTTTGGAATGAGTATCAAGTTCTGATGTACCACGCATTATTGGCGCTTCATCAGGCAACACTTGTGAATTATTCCCTAAACTCATCATTGTTTCCGGTCTATCTTCTTGCACAGATCCTCTTTCGCCCGACTCCAACTGAATAAACTTCTCCGATCCACTAAGCTTTCTGCTTGTATCTTCATTAGAGGGTTGGACAGACTCGCTTTCGACTAAATTTTCAAATTCTGTCTCATCGGGACCTTTAATCAGTTCTACAGTTTCTCTTCCAGTATGCTGAGATTCTTTTTCGAAGTGATTATCGTCTTCTTCCTTTTCGACAACCTCTTCTCTTTCGTCATGTTCTAGTCCTGCATCTTCTTCTCCTCCTCCAACCATTTCTTCATTGTCTCTTTCATGCTCCTCTCTTCCTGTATGTTCATCTTCTCTTCCTTGCTCTCCATCTTCACTTCTTAACCTTTCCTTTTCTCTTTCAATTATTCCTACATCTTCTCTTCCAGTCATTCTTTCTTCTCTTTCAGTATATTGATTCTCACTTCCAGAATGTAACTCTTCTCTTTTAAAGTCCCCATTATCTTCTTCATTATGTTCCTCCTTTACACTTCCAGAATGTTCCTCTCTTTCGGTGTAAACTTCTCTTCCACTAAGTTGTTCCCCTTCACTTTCAATATGTTTATTACTTTCTCTTTCAGTATTCTTATTTTCTATTCGTTCGAACTCTTCCTCTTCTTTTCCAAAATGTTCTTCATCTCTTCCAGAATGTTGACTTCCTTCTCTTCCAGATCCGTTTTCCTCTCTTCCTATATGTTCCTCCTCTCTTCCAGTGTGCACTTCCTCTTCCTCTCCATAATGTTCTTCCTCTCTTCCTGTATGCTGACTTTCTTCTCTTCCAAATCCGTTTTCGTCTTTTCCAATATGTTCCTCCTCTCTTCCAGTGTGCACTCCTTCCTCTCCAAAATGTTCTTCCCCCCTTCCTGCAGAATACTCTTCACCTCCACCAAATCCATCAACATCTCTTTTCATTCTGTGCCCTTCCTCAAATACTTCATCATTCTTATTTTCATCATACTGTTCAGAAGGCTCTTCAACGTAATCTGAGACAGTTTTAGATTCTGGCAACTCATAACGATGCTCTAAATCACGTTCAGCCTCGTGTTCTTCATTCTGTGTTTCCTGTCCTTCTTCATAATTTATTCCATTCACTACTGAACGGGTAGAAGCTAAAGGCGATTCGCTTTGTCCCAAATGCTCTTCCACTCTTGGAGAGCCTTCCAATTCAACTTCTCCATCTCTCCCATCCTCAGAATGATGAGAAATCGAAGCTTTATCAACCGCTGGACTTTCAGCCATAACAACGAATTTTTCCTCATCTTCTTTCCCATCATTCATTTCTTCCTCCTCTCCCCAACATTTATTTTCTGGCGATGGGGTTATCGTAACCTTAACAGGCGATTCCTGAATATTTTCTTCATTTTCCACGTTTTGATTAGACAATTCTTCCATTTCAACAACCGCTTCTTCACTTTTTTGTCTTTCACTCGGGTATTCTTCCCTTCTTTCAATAGAATCTTCACTCTTTGCAAAACTAACACGAGAATCAGAAACCCTCTTTTCTTCATCACTCACTGGTTCGGCTTCCTTTAAACTCTCCTCTTTAATTTCCACAGAGCGTTCACTTCCTTCAACCTCGTCATTATGCCCATAATGACCTCCATTCATTATTATATTTTCGGGAGAGTGTGTGCTAACAATTTCTTCTTTTGGACTGATTATTCCTTCATTCTCCTTATCTTCATATATTTCTTCCTTCTGGATAGGTTGTTCAAATACTTCTTCCTCTTCTTTTTCCTCTGCCTTTATCTCAGCCTCTCTTTTGACACGCTCATAGTGTTGTTGAAGAGAACATGCTTGAGTTGGCTCTTGTGGAATTTCTTCTGATTCTTCAATTTCTTCCCTTCCAGGCGATGAAGAAATATTTTTATATTCATCCTCCTCCATCCCAGAACCCACTGCTTCTGTTCCAACAGGCGATATCACTTCTCTTTTAATTTCTTCCTCATTTTTCATTCTCTCTTCATTTTCATTTTCTTCCATCGCCTCATCCTGCCTTTCCATTAACTCCTCCTTAGCAGCCGACTTAACTTCAGTTCGAGCAGTTAGTTGTCCTTCGCTTCCTTCCATGTGGTTTTCTGTTACTTCTGTCTCTCCTTCAAAGGGCCCAGGTGTTGGCCTAGCCTCTTCTTCATTTACAACCTCTGCTGGAGCTTCGACTTGATCTCCTTCCCACTCAGAATCACCTGCCGGTTGTCCATCGGTTGTAGTAGTTTGTGAGGCGGCTAAGGAAATTGAAGGAGAAGGGGCCTGGAAATATGGAAGAATTATTCAAGCAAGATTTTCTGGTACTATTTGAAAGGGACGGATATATTTTTGCGAAAAATTTTCTGCCGTTTTTTGTTATGTTTGTCAGCAAAAAGATGTAAATATCCGTCGCTTCTTTAATCTCATTAAACTAACCACATTTTCTCTATTATCCTCCTCCTTACGCTCATCATCATTTACAATAGTAGCTGCCACTACTGCAACACCAGCAGCACCAACAGCAGCTCCTATGACTGGTAAAGCTCCAGACATGGAAGGAGGCTTCTGCACTTTGACAGGAGTGATGGATCCTTTAGACGAAGGAGGTCGAGCCCCGATTGGCGTTGTTTTAATGCCGGGTGTTTTTTGAACTGTAGCTGGTTGAGAACGACGAGGAGGGCGTTCTTGAGCCTTTTTAGTTTGCCTGAAAAAATTATTTGTAGAGGCTATTGCCTAAAGAGAAGGACCATCAATTGCCAATTACATAATGTACCCTCTTTTCTTACTTGGTAGTGCCCGTTGGCGGTAGTTTCTGCTCCATAGACTTGCTTGGAGTCGGCATAGAACGATTTCCAGTAAAAGAACGCTTTGCGGTTTGTGGCAAGGGTGGAAGTTTTTGAGTTGCTCTAGTGCGTGACATTGAAGTTCTGCGCATTTTAGTTAAAGGTTCATCAGCCGCAGCACCTGCACGGCGTGGAGATTGTGACTTGCCGCTTCGTGATTTTCTGCCTGATTTGAGGCTTCTGAAATAAGGAATTGAGTTTGATTTTAGGATTAATAATTCGAAAGGAAAGGAAAATGAAAGTTGAGTTCTGAAGGTAGAGTCCGCAACTGTTATCCGCATTGATCAGCAAATGCTACAGTTCGAACTTCACAATAGCTAAGGAAGAAAGAAGATCAGTGATTAACATTTAAACGTTTGCTAAGCGGAGGGTTAAGAGATCTATTAAAGAAGGATGGAAAAGCATCATCCCGGTAAGCACTTGTAGGAAGTGACTGAAGGATCAGGAGCTAGTAGATGCTTGCACGAGAAACTTTAAAGTTAACCCTAAATGTAATGTATCCCATAATGAAATTCGATTCTATTCTTAATTCTGTTTGCGGACTTTACCTCATAACTTAAGACATGATCTCTCTATTTAGCAAAAGAGATCAAGTCTTAAAAAAGGACAGTTAAAGTGTTAGAAAAGGTTAGTAAATTTCAAAATTAGTTAAGTATTTTATTCATGATTGTTATTAAAGCACCCAAGCAAAGGAAAAGGGGAAAGGAAAGATTTAAAATATTTAAAGACTGGACTGAGAGGGTCTTATGAGAATAAAAAAATATCTCGGAAAACATCGATAACAATATCTGAGATTGTCATCGAGATCTCGTCCAGGTCCAATCTCCAGTTAAAACCAGAAGCCGATCGGAAATGCGGAGGTGCCGGAAATCGGAAATGGCTCAAAAGTAGGAAATCGGAAATGGCTCAAATTTTCGGAACTTGGAAATCAGAAGGAAAAAACGTCGGAAATCGGAAGTCAAAATTCCGATCGACCTCTAGTTTAAACAGCCCAAGTAAATTTTAAAAGAATGCTCAAAAATCCCGAAAAATTTTACAAAATTTTTGAATGAGATTCTGTCTCATTAACTGGTTTTTCCAAAAAAATTTTGAGAAAAGAAAATTTTTATGGAAAAGAAGACAACGAAAGTAATGTCCCGAAAATTGAAAAAAAACCGTTAAAGGTACAGAAAAGTTTTTCTTAAACCCTTAAATATTTTTTTGTTATCCTTCACCTCCAACCCCCGTTAGTTTGTTGGGATTGTGAGTTATTAGTAGCGCCGACTGCGGCTTCCAAACTGGGCAGGGACCTGCGACGGAAAAACCAGGATTGTTGCAACTGCGCCGGTTGGTGTTTAGCCATTGTGTGAGGGCCAAAAGAGACTTCTCTGAAACGTTCAAGTTTGGCCAATTGTTTCCGTAAAGAGTTCATGTATTTGCGAAGGGTTCGGTCGTCGAGCTGAAAAATAAATTGAGAAAATAAATGTTTTAAGCGAAAGGCACTCAAATTACAGATGTTTTATTCAACTTAGACCTAATAAAATCAAAAAATAAGAGGCGAAAGATGCCAAAAAGGGTTAGAAATCACATGTTTCCCCTTTCTTAAAGTATTTAACTTCCATCGACTGCAAGTTTGAAAATTTTGGGACAGATACCGAATCCTGCATGCGAAACATATTCATATTATTTGACCCCTTGTTTTCCATATAGCTACTAACCATGGAGTTGAGGAAGTAACTCTCCCTCATATTTATATCTACAGTATGCAAAAAAAGACTGCAAAGCTTACAGGGTCTTAAAATCCTATTGTTGTTGGTGTGCCTTTGGGGCTTAGGCGATTTTTTTCTTGATTTTCATTTCTTACATTCATTTTCTGTAAATTTCAAAATAATTCAATTATCCCATTTATTTCATTAGCTAAATACTTCCCCTGACCAATATAAATATTTTTTAGTTACCTTATGTAAATATTGATATTTGTAGGCATTAGCCGCCAATCTGTTGTAAATACTTTTTGAATTTTTGATCGGGGCACTGTCAGCTCTATAATCTGTCTCAACACGTTTAATCAAATCCCCAGCTTCAGGACTATGCGATTGTTGACGTCGATGACCACCTCCCTCTCTTGAAAATCTACCATTTCCAAGTGCGCCTTTAAATATTTTTTGAATTATTTTTGAAGTGCAAGTAAGGCTGTCCAAAACTTGTGGTCTTAAACAGCTCGTTTTACGAATGAAATAATTTAGCATATGCCTAGTATAGTAATGCAACTCGGGAAATTAGAACATTAACGGGCAGAAAATCATTTTACAGAATTCACTGACATAACTAATAAATGATTTTACATAATATATAAAAATCCAATTATTATTTATCTAAATTATCCAATAGTGTCATAAATTGTGTTTGTTTCGTTGGGTATGGTGTTACTATTTTTGACTGGGGGATCTAGTTCCTCAAATAAGACTGTAGAATCACTATTTATTCAATACCTACATGTATGATTGAATTTACTTAATATGCAATAATTAAATTAAAATTTTATTTAAATTTCTTTTTAACTTTTCTACATGTTGGATTTTCGTACACTTTATATTTTTGGATAGGGATATTATTCCCTAAATATTATTAAACATTAATGGTTGAATGTCAGTCAGTGTATTCTTCCCCTACCATAAATAAATTAAAGAACACAAACTTCTAGCTGGACGCGAAAGACTACGTGAAACATGGGAACGTTCTAATTCTTCTGCGTTTGTAACTCCACTCTAAAAATTGAAAATTTTTAAAAATAAAAATTAAAAAACAAACTCGAATACGTCTGTAAAGTTCCACTTTCTCAGCTGCATCCAATTTACGTTGAAGGTCTACTAATTGTTGAAGTACTCTTTCTCTTAAATTTTTTAGGTTTTAATGGTTTTTGCTATAAGATACCCCAATACTAGATACATCCCCAATTTAAAATGACGCATCTGAGAAGTCTGGCTTATAGTGAGATAATAATCTATCTCCTCAAAAAAAACCCTTGCCAAAAATTTAGGATAAACTTAGGATATGGATATAGAAAGAACAGATGCCCTCGAATTTTGGAATTGATTTGGTTTTGAGATTCGAAAAAAATAATTAAAGATTCACTAGATCGGACAAAGAATGAGAAATTATTTAAAAAAATGTTAACCTATTCCGTAACATCATATCCATCATTTGTAAATGACCGGCGTGTAATTCCTCACTTTGTCCAGCAGATCCATCGAGCTTAATTAAAAATTTATCAATGATTTAAATGTGAAAATCTTAATCAGTGATTTTGCAATGGAGGTACTTTGAAAAAAATGAAAATAAAAATTGGATTTACTTAATATGTAAAAATTCAATTATTATTTTATTTAGATACATATTTCTCGTCTTAAGTATACATGATAGGTCTCTTGTTTGCACAAAACGTATTTTTGAATAGGAAATTTTGATTTCCTAAATAATTATTGACTGATTGTAAGTGTAGGAATTAGATCTGTGATCTCGATTATAAATCTCGATAATTTTTAACGGCGGAGCAATTTTGAGGATCAATTTTAAGGTGAGCAGGGAATTTTCAATATTATATGGGGCAAGATGCTACAATTCATGTCAGTCTGCAAATTTCGACGTGTACATAAAGCCTAATTGAAGTACTAAATATTCATGATATGTAAAACACTTTCTTATAAATATCATCTTTTAATTAATAAAAGCTGACCAGTCCAAGATTTCTCAAATGTTTTTGCATATGAGGGAGAGCAAAATACTGCCGTAGATGGACACTTTAAATTGTATTAGAATTATAATTAAAGACAAAAATAAAACATACTCGTATAGAGGGTTGTATGATTCTAGAAGATTGTCCCCCATCTTTAAAAAAATTAAACAAATATCCTTTAGAGTTCAAAATTTAAAATAATTTTGATTTTTGAACTTGATGGTTTGGCATGACCAAACCAAAACAATTAAAAAACGCAAGATAAAATTTAATAAAATACTTGAAATACGTATTTAGTAAAATTTATATTTAATGCTTTAGTGTAACCTTTATATAGTAGCAATAATTAAATATTTAATATTATGTAGTAAGTACAAATAATTTGAGTACTTTTAGGCTGTTTTTGATGATTAATTGGAGACTAGAATTTAAAGCTATAAACAAATAAAAAAAATTAATTAAATATTTTAAAATGAGGGCTAAGTAAATGTATTAGAGGGCTATAGAAAAAAAGAAAAAAATCGATTTTGAAAATTTATTGTGGAATAAATTGTGGAATATTATATAATTGAATGGCAATGAATCGGTGAATAAGTAATTATAATTAATAATAATAATTTATCAGATTTGAGGATTTTGTGAAACTATAGCTTCATCGTAGGGACAGACTCATTCAATTTTAAAAATCAAAATATGAAGACATATAGTGCTTGAACATTGAAACAAGTGGCCATTAAGAAAAAATTCATTTAAGAGTTCGATTTCAATTACGACACGCTTTCTTAGTTTTTAGGGAATAAAATTCCCTATCCAAAAATAAAGCAATCTATTTACCCAATCAAGATGACAAGAAAATGTAAAAATATTTAAATAATAACATAATTGCATTATTGCATATTAAACAGAATTAAATTAAGGAATAATCTTAACTTTATAAATACTGCCCGATATATTCCTTCTTATGTTTTAAAGTCTTTAGAATATAAGTTTATGCTTAAATAGAAGTTTCTTATCTAAAACAAATTTTGCAGCCGACTTTTCGCGAAAAAAATTTTGCAGAGAATGTTTGAGGACATTATTTTTTTGCGGACAATAGCTAAAAATAAAAATTTAAAAATATTTTTTTTTTCAATTTTTAAAAAAATTTTTGTAAATGTAATTTGAACACTAACACATTTTTAACAAAATAATTTTGTGGTCAATGTTGGCCTATTGTTTTAAAAAAAATTTTTTGGATGACAGTAAATGTGCGCATTTTATTTGTTAAAAATTTTTCTTTTTCATTAATTAATCTATTTATTTTTTTATTTTTCTAAGAAAGAGGATAAAAAAGACAATTTATTTATTTACAAACAAGTAGCTGTTTTTTCGGAAAAAAATTTGTTTTTTTCAATTTTTGGGAGGACCCAAAAAATGTGTTTTTTTTTTGCAATTTTTGAGGCCATGATTAAGAAGAAAAAAGAAATTGGAAGAAAATTGAAAGGAATATCGAGGAGAAGGGAATAAATTTAAGACGAAAAAATTAAAGAAAAACTGAGTATTTTTGGGTGGAGCGAGACGAAGGAAAAGGCAAATTACACCGACAGAAAGAGGAAATTCAAGGGTGTGCGCAAAGAACGCCAAAAGAGGAAAATGTGTTTTTGTTAGATTTAGAGGGGGAATGAGGGATAGAATGGAGAATAGAGTGTTTTAAGAAATTATTTAGAAAATACGGAAAGACCTCTATATAATATAACCAAATAATTGATACTTAAAAGGAATATTAAAAATAGAGATTAGATTGTCACTCTCAAAGAAAAAAAAATAAATTTAAGACAAGGATCATTAGAAAATTCAAAACCACAAAAATATAATAGATTGTAGAAAGGGCATAGGGATTCAATAAAAAAAAGACTGCTCCACTACTAAACTGAACTCAATCTCTCTTTACTATTGTATCTGGCGAATGAACATTCACCATTCAAAAATAAATAATGCAAGAAAATTCTGAGGTATAACATAGCATAACGTAATTGTCTATACATATATATAAAGTAATAATTGTATTTTTGCATATTAAGTACCTAAACTCCATTAGTAATTTTTAAGTAAATATTTTTTTATTTTTAAGTATTATGTACATATTAAGATCACATTTCGCTTAATCTGTATTACATAATTATTAAAAAGATATTTAGAATAATTCCAATTAAAAATTTGTCAAAAATAATTTTAAAAATAAACTGCATCAAGCTACGTAGAATTATAAATAGTTAAAAATTAGATAAATGAACGCCATAGTATGGCTGTATTGATAAGATGATGATGAGATAGATGTCTTTAATGAGATACCTTTAATCATGCTAGGGCGGTTCGTATTCACTAATTTTCCACATGGATATAGTCTTTAAATCAAAGATGGATCGTGTAGTGAAGTCCGGGTTTCGGTTAACACCACCCACCAATGCTTGAGACGATCCACTTCTACATACAAAATTAGGATGTCCTTTTTGGCGTTTAATTGCGCACATACCCACTCCCACACATCCTCAAAGAAAGCGGATAAAGGAGTAGGAACGATGACCGAGCAAAATGCATGAAGAGGGTAAAAGAAAAATGTTTTTTTGAAGCGGAAGGGAGGAAGAAAAAGAAAGAAAAAGGAGGGTAGCCAGGAAAAACAAGCTTTTCATTATTTTTGAGCACAAAAGTGATGAGCTTTTCTGGGAGGGAATAAAAAGCAAAGAACATTTGAAGACTATAAACTATTTAAAAATGGAAGAAAATTAATTTTTGGGAAGGGATGGTAATGAGTAGAGCCCGGACGGAGGGCTCGGTCGATATTTTTTCGATAAATATCGAAAAATATCGAAACCGAAAAATATCGAAAAAAAAGTCTCGATATTTTTCGATTTTTCAAAAAATTTTCTATAACCAATGAAAAACAGAATAGACCTAATAGTTTAATAAGATTAAGATTGATTAAATAGGATATTGGTGAATTTGGACATATTAAATGTAATATCAATGGATTTGTATTGATATCGAAGGATCAAGTGAGATATAAGTGGATTTTATCTATGGATAATGGATTTTAAGGAATTAAGGGGATATTAATGGATGGAGTGTGTATCGAGAGTTTAGAGGTAGTAAGAGTGATATTGTAAATTTGTGAGATCAGGAGGGATATCAAGGGATTTGTGGATTAAGAGGGATATCGAGGGATAACGAGATATCAGAGGATGAAAAATCTTGGCATTTGATATCCGTTTTGATATTCATCTCTCACAAAGCTCCGTCTTGATTCCTCGAGATTCATTTTACCCACTTAATCCTCTATAAGTTATACAAATAGTCGATTATCCCAGATATCCATAATATCCTCATGATCCTGGATATCTCAAATATCCCACAAATCTTCTCATACCACACTGAAATCTCCCTTAATCTACCGAAATTTTTTAAATTTATATTAGTGTTTTGTAGGGAATCGAGGGAATATGATGGCTTAATGGGACAAAACAGGATATTCTAACAATTTTATGAAAATCTCGGAAGGTCAAGTTGCAAAATTTTTGCGCCGCAGGCGAAAATTTTTTGAATTTCCGATGGGCAAGAAGCAAAAATGCATCCTTTTTGCGCCAAAAATTCAAATTTTTGTCGAAAATGACGTTCGATATTTTTTTCGATTTTTTTAATTTGGTCGGTCGATTGTTTCGATTTTTAAAATTTTTCGGTCGATATTTTTTCGATAAATATCGAAAAATACCGAATATCGAAAAATATCGAAAAAGACAAAATTTTCTCGGTCGATATTTTTTCGATAATATCGAAAAATATATATCGAAAAATACCGAAAAATATCGAAAAAATATCGTATCGGTCCGGGCTCTAGTAATGAGGAAAGGATATAAGAAATTAAAAGTGCAACGAGAGATAATGGGAAATGAAGAGAATTTTGTCTAACTGAGGGAATAAAGAAAAATAAAAAAATGCCAAAGGAAAAAAATTTCTCGGAAAAATTTTTTGGAAAGGGAAAGAGATTTAAAATGGATTCAAACAGAGAATATCTCGAAAAGTATAACTAAACATTCAGGGAAGAAAACCTCACCCAAAGGACTCTCTCAGGTAAGGTAAGGGGTTCCACTGTCATCCTTTCAATTAGGGTGTATTTATGATTTTAAATTTTACAAATTTTATTTTAATTTAACCATCCAAAGCTTAGACGGAAGTGAGGCGTGAAAATAATAATAAAAATATTTTTTCAACGTCTAAAAAGAAAAAAAGCTTTTTAGAAAAGAATAATAGGAGAGAATAGAGGAAGAGTTTTGTCCTCTAAAAGAGAGAAAATGAGGACAGAATGACATTTGTGTACCGACATTTTTGAACACTCATTAAAAGTTTTATCTTATAGCTTATTGAGATATGGTGTGATAAGTACAGTAGTTCAAAATATTACTGTAGATCCAAGAAGCAATGAACCCCCAATTCCAACAAACATTAGTTCTGTTTGCAACAAGGATATCACGGGTTGAGAAAAAAGTTGTGTCTGGGTCTGAAAATTTTCTCGGGCCGGGGTTAGAGTCGAAAAATGTCCGTGTTCCGAATAAACCGTGACATCCCTTGTTCGCAAATGTCGTTAAGCAAATGTCGGTTAACAAAACTAGGGGATGAATAGGGTGAGAAAGAGGGAGAAAAATTCAATTTTAAATGGGAAAATCCCTTCACACCCCCTATTTCGCGCAAATTGCTTTACTCTCACATTTAATATGTTTTTACATTTTTCGTTCCATTTTTATATCCGGCGTTCTCTTTTTCGTACAAGGCAGCGATGACTTTTATATACCCAAAAAATCGGTCAATAATATATATTAAGTAAACATTCCCGTCAATTTTATAAGTTAATTCACACCTTTACACAACCCTCAATAAAAATTATAATTTGTCGCCAAATATCTCTTGTGGAAGATTTTAATGATTTCTTATAAAAATAGAGAGAGGGATGGAAATGAATAAAATAATTCTTAAGTTCTACAAAAAAATCTGTATAATCCCTTCCTTTATTGGTGATTTTTACATTCTCGGTTAATCAGTTTTTTTGGATATAGTTTTTAACGAACATTGGTTTTCGATTTTTAAATTTTCCACATATTATCACCTAGTAGATTTGGCTTTAATACAGAACTGGATAAGTGTGCCTTTTTGCCTTTTAAAATCAGTTTAGGCACACTCTTATCGGGCACTCTATTAATTTTTATTCGGCATTCTATACCATATTTTTGAAATTTCTGTTTGAACATGTAAAAATGCTTTAGAGATATTCCTTAATATTTTTATATAAAACGAATTAAACCCAAAAAGAAAATTGTGGTATCCTCAATGAGAGCGAGGATATATTTATAATGACAGAAAGCTCTCCTACCAAAAACAATTTTCTTCCTCCCTCCCAACAAACAAAAAAATTGAGGGCAATGGAATTAAATAAAAATATTTGTGTATAGTTATTTTTTGAGAGAAGAGAAATAATTTTAATTTTACTTTAGAAGTAAACATAAATATTATTAAAAAACATCTTCAAAGTTGGATAAATATATTGGATATTTTCTTAAAAGGAAAGAGAGAAAAAATTTTTAGTAAAAAAGGATAAAAAATAGCTTAAATAAACGGCAATAAACTGCACTTTTATTTACAAAAAAGGAGAAGAGAAATTGGAGTTAAAAAAAATATAAAAATGCATTTGTAAGAAGCCTCTTCAATGTCTGGTATATCCTCTTTCCTTTTTGAGAGGTTTTAATTTTATTTTTTTGGTATAATTCTCTATTTAGGGGTTTGAGGTTAAAGAAGGTTTCAAACCGAACTTAAAAATTTCGGCAGCGGCTCCCGGTTAACATAAGACTTAGTGAAACCGACATGACTCGTTTAGAAATTAACATTAACAATGCTCAAGCTACGGGTGCGAGTTGGGTTGTCGGTTTCAAACCGAAACCTGTCGGTTCTTTAACCGAAGAATTTGGTGAAACCGGCAACCCTAGTTGCGAGACATAATGGTTGTAGCATCGTAAAACATGTCTTGGAAATAAAACGGGATTATATTTAAGAAGGTATTAGAATATTGAAATTTAATAAATAATATATTAAGCAAAAATTTTTTTTACTTATTCAAGTAATCCTTAATCTTCCCAAAATTAGCATTTTTATGACCTATCCAAATTTAATTTTAACATGAATTTTAATAAATTCAAGTGGCAACAAGGAAAAATAAAATATATAACTTCAAAAAAGGATATTTTTATTTTGGTTTTATTAGCTACTCAAAAAGGGATAAGAGGGGTGACATAAAATGACATATAGATATCACTGAAATAAATGAAAAAAGAAATGAAAAGCAAAACAAAATTTGACGAGGATGTACAGATTTTACCTAAACAGATGGGCACTAAAAAAGAATGAATTTAACGTGACGAAAGCGGAATAAATGAATAAAAAGAGGAAAATAAAGCTATAGCTTTGGGATTGGGATGGTTTGGACGTGAGGTGGTTAGACGCGAGAATAAGGCAGAAACTGTTTGGAATACAGTAGACCCTCCGTAAAATTTAGGAAAAGACAGGAAAAGAAAACTAATATTTTTAATTAAAATTTACTTAATATGTAAAAATACAATTATTATCTTTTATTTAAATTTCTTGATCATTGGATTTATGTACCTGTATAATTTTTTCCCAAGTTAATATTTTTGAATAGTGAGAGTACTTTTACTCACTAAAAATGAGATTTCTAGTATGCTGCTTCTATGATAATGTTAAGTACTTATGGCTCCGGCTTCATCCAAAGCCAGCTACAGGGATGCCCTCGGGGCCATAGTACCCAGCTCTGTTCTCTAATGTTAAATTTTTTTAAACCCGCGTTTAAATGCTAGGTGCCCAAACGACCAAGCTAAAGCAGCCAGTCCATTTGCATTTTTATCCATTTTTTCTTTTTATTTAGCTTTTTCCCCATAACCTTCCCTGTTTCTTTCCCGTTTTGTTTAGTAAAAATAGTAAATAGTATAGTCTGGCCTTAGTCGTTTCGGATGCGCCATCTGCCTTTTTTCTTCTTTTTACACTCCTTCCAGCCGGTCAAGAACAGTAAAAACATATCGATTTCGTTCCCCAAAACATTAATGTCCTCCCCCTTTTCTTAAATTGCTTAGAAAATGGAAAATAAAATTGAAAAATAAATTGTAACACAATCTCTTAGAAGAAAATAAATTTTTTTAAATTGGTTTTTGAACTACAAGCATATTACTTGTGAGAGAAATTGAAATTGTTTATAAATTAAGGAGATTAAGTTTAGATCTTTTTACGGAATATCTGCTATAATTTGAACTTAAGCCTAGACAATCTTCTAGTTGGATTAAAGGTCGGTCGGAAATGCTCGTGTCTTAAAGTCATGTCTGAGGTGTAAGAAAGCAGAAGCTACCAAAATTTCAAACCGCATTTCCGAAACTTTGTTATCGGTGAAGGTTGCCGGTTCTTATGCTACGCTTACATAAAAATCGCGCGCGACACGCGACAGAAAAGATAATGGAAAAAGAGGAGAGAAAAGTCGCCGGCGATTTTGTCGCTTTTTTTGCGTGCTTACATAAAAAGCGACTTCCGCCGGCGACTTGTCGCGCGCGACTTTGTCGCTTTTTTGAGTGCTTACATAAACCGCGACTTCCGCCGGCGACATGTCGCGCGCGATTTTGTCGCTTTTTCGTGTGCTTACATAAAATGCGATTTCCGCCGGCGACATGTCGCCGGCGACACTTTTTTTGATTCAAACATGTTTGAATTTTTGGCGACACTTTTTTGCGACATGCTATTTCTCGATCATTTCTGATCCGATTTTCAAACTTTAAAAAGATTCTGAAAGTTCAGTTTATTCTCTATCGATCAATATAAATTTTATATTTTTAAAGTTAAATCTTATGGGTTAAAATTGATTTTGAAAAAGGTATACTTTTTGCAAAAAATATTCTTTTTTTTCGATATTTTTGAGATTTTCGAGATAAAAAAGTATTTATATCATAACTTTTTTATCAATCGGTCAAAAATTCTGATTTTTTTATATGTTGTAGAGCTTTTAATTCTCTAACAAATGATACCAAAAACATGAAAAAGTGACCATTTCTTGATGAGTAGGGCTCGTCACATATAGTTAGGGACAAAAAATTTCGGGGAAAATCGAGGCTTCAAAAAATATTTTTACGACCTAGAGCTTTTAAAAAAATTTTCTTTTGGGCCCATTAAAAAGCCCATAAAATTTGCTACAATTTAGCCTAGGCTTTTATTCTTCCAACAAAAACTCGTGAAGATGAAGGTCCTTTGAAGTCTAATTTTTTGGCATTAATCTACAAAGTTTTAGATGGAAAATCATTTCTTTTTTTTTCGATATTTTTGTATTCCTTTCCTTTTTCTTCAAAAATTTAATATCAAAGTACGCAAATACACTAAATATTTTTCCTGGTTTCCCGGTGAAAAAAAGCCGGGACCGGGTCCCGGACCCGTTCCTAACTCTAATATCAATGGAAAAATTAAAAAAACCCACAATATAAAAGCCACAATAAAATAGTGGCAACGAATTGTCCTATACATTACAGTACTCTGACTTCCACCAACGTGAAAAATAGAGATAAATAAATAAAGAAAATATAGAAGAAAAAGATAGAAAAACTAATAATTTTGTGCTTACATAAAAATCGCGCGCGATTTGCGACGTCGCTAGGCGACATGTCGCCTAGCGACGTCGCTGCTTTGTGCTTACATAAAAATAGCGTTTTGTCGCTTTGCGACAGTCGCTTTTGCGTAAGTCGCCGATTTTATGTAAGCACACAACTAGCGACTGTCGCCGGCGACATGTCGCCTAGCGACTGTCGCGTGTCGCGCGCGATTTTTATGTAAGCGTAGCATTAGAAAATTTTCGGATATTCGAAATTTTAAAAAGTTTTCTGAACAGGACTTAGTAAGAGAATCGAAAAATCTTTATTTCTTCGGTAGGTCCCTTACCGATAACCCTAATTATAATGAGTTTGTTTGGCTTTAATAAAGATATAAACTCGTCTCTTTTGAATAAGGACAGAGGATGGCTAATAAGAAAAAAAGGCAAAAAACTCATCCCGCCTTGTACCAGTATAAAATTATTTGCAAATTCATTACGAAAATTGGCAGGCAAAACAATGTTTGAGGGAAGGGATGAAAAGAGAAAAGGGAATGACAGGAATTGGTGTAACGGAAACGAATTGAAAAAGAGAGAGAGAGGGAAGAGTAAAGGTTTCTTTCCCTCTCAACTCTCTCCTTAAACGTCCATCTCCTTTTAGGTAAAAATTGGCGCGATATGGTTAGAAGCGGCTCCTTTATGTTTGTAGTTTTATTTTAAGGAAAAGTAGATCCCGAAGAAAGGTCACGGTTATAGAGATTGATATTTTTCGAGATATCTCGTACGAGAAAATTTTTCAGGTTTTTGAAAAAAAATTTTTGAGATTTTTTGAGACAAAGGTATCCTTTGTTAAAAGAGGGGGCACGCCCAAGTAGGCGCGCGGCCAAGTAGGCGCAGAGCCATAACTAGTTGTAAAATTTCTGGACCTTAACAATTTTGGTGCCAATCTCTTTAGCTCGATGAGAGGATTTTTTACTACTAAATTTTGAAAGATTCAGAAATCTCGAAGCAAGT